TCTAACTTCAGAATCACTGAACATGTTATTGAGAGCCCAGGAATCAGAAGAAGCAGCAACTGTTCCAAAATTATTTGCTTGAGGCTATGCCTATAAAACCTTTTATTTTTAGAACTGCAGAGTCCTACTAAGTGTAGGGGTCATCTTAAAGGAGAATCAGTTAATTTAAGGCAAGAAAAATTTCTTGATTTAAATGATGCCACCTTGGCAGGCTTCACGGACAATTTCTGCCCCTTTGCCCAGGCGCTGGTCCATGGTGTCTGTCATGGTTTGTGGATTGGTCAGTGTGAGCATTTGGCTGGTTGCTACAAAAACCTTTACATACCACAGCCATTGTCACCTCCAACATATCTGTATCAGAGTAAAAAAGAAGGAGTCAAGGGAACCAGAAATCAACTACATCACACAAGTTTTTCATGAAAAATACTACTGTTTCTAATATTGAAAAATTCTCTGTACCTGGATATCCTCCTACTTGGGAAAAAAAAAAGAAAAGGAAGGAGAGAATAAGGAAGGCAAAAGAGAATTCGAGCAGTATTAAGTTGCTTCTATTTCTTTTAATAATTTTGCCTAATGCCTTGAAATAACTGAAGACAACCTGGGGTATCTCCCAACATAACTGAGAGATATTGAGCTAAAAGAACATTTTAATACCAACGCTGCATGAAGAGAATTCCAAGCCTATTGTTACAAGGATTTTCCACTTTTATTCATCCCTTCAATAAACATTTACTGAGTGTTAGGTACATAAAGACTGAGGGGTTTTAGTGAGCACTGGGGATGGATATCGGTAAAGAATGCCTACAGTTCTCCCCGCTCCTGGAGGAGATCCATACAAATAAACGGTGACCACACGGAATGCAGACAGAGTAAGCGCTGTAGCAGGAGCTCTGCACTGAGCCAGGAGGAGACGCAGGTGCTGGCGGACCCACGGGAGGTAAACCAGTGTGCCCCCACCTGATGACATCTAACATGTCCTTCCTAACCAAGCCTGACAGAAACCCACGGTACGATGTAATGAAACTCAATGAGGATTCAAAATAACCTACTGTTGTTCCACGTGAGTCAACAGAATTAATGTTTATATCATTGTAATTTCTGCTTTGGGTTTCACATAAGCCCCTATAGGAAATATAAAAGCCAAAGGGACTTTTTTTTTTAAAGGAAATTACTTTAGTCTCTTTCGTGTTCTACAAGAGATAGAAAATCAAAAATAAGATTCGATGCTAAGATAATGATTACAAGACACATTAAAAGTGGTAAATTACTATTATTTTTAAAACAGGGTGGTCCCACAGTTTTTTTGTTTGTTAAACCTATGGGAATTGTAAGGGAAATCAAATCCATAAGTTAGTTACTCATTACCCATCAATTTAAATGAATAACTGAATGTTCAAAAACATCTTCTTTTCTTAGAAAGAGAGACTATTTAACAGCCAAAATCTAACTCACATAGACTTAATTTTAACCAAATATGCTGAACCTGTAGGGCCTAAAGAACCCTAGAGAGATAGAGAGAAGCGCTTGGGCATCCTAGAATGCAACTTGGGTTTATCCTGGAATAACACAAGCACACCAGACCTAACCTGTTCCCATGCAACCCAAGAACATAATAAGATCATCTCTACCCATCTAGTTCTCCGACATCTAATGTTTTATTTTTGGCTTTCTGGCCTAATCATGATGGGAATTCTACAGTTATCAATTTTCAGAAAGAATGTTTTAAAAGTCTAACTTACTGAGAAGACAGAGCTAAGAATGATGACATTCCCAGGGCTCTGCCTTTGGTGGACAGCGGCCTAATTCTATTGCGTGTATTTGTGTGTGCGCGCGCGCGCATGCATATACATGACAAATAAATGAATAGAAAAACCAGAAACCTCAGTAAGTTAAAGAAGTTAAAGGACAAAGAAACTCCAGTTTCACATAGCCAGACCAAACCAGAATTGGCTACATGTTCTGTTTTTCAGGAGCAATTTGGCTATAAAAACATTTGGAAAAACAAACAAGCAAAACCAGAAAACAAACAAAACTTAATTCCTCCAGTGAAAACAATGCAACACCAGGACATGATGGAGAAAACAATTCCTGACAGCCATCAAATTCCTCAGCACTTAAGGCAAGATTTTTAATATAGACAAATCTCATGACAATCATCACCCTGTTGAATGTTCATCTCAACCTATAAAGCTAGGTGGTAACTGCCCAGGCAGTTCACCAACGCCTTCATCAAGCTCCAACAGAAGAGTAGAGCTCAGTCTTTACAGGAAAACTACCCTGAATGGCAGGGAAACTTAGAAAGCAGGCCAGGAAGGACCTTCCCCTTCATCAACTGACAGAGCTGTATGGAAGAGTGCCTTGGCTGTTCTTAGATCTGTACTCTTAGCAAAAAAAAAAAAAAATCAAACATGTCATTCACTACTTTTCCCTTCCTTCTAACTTTTTCACTGGCCAAAGTGATTATCAGGTTTTTCAACTGAGCCTCAGCTCCTTGGTACGCATTATCCAGAGCAATCACTGCTATCTGCTGTGCAGTCTTGTCTTCTCTTAGACAAATGCAAGATCTCAAAAGACTCATTTGAAAAAGATGGCTCCTCTTGAGTGCGCAATGCTTATAATTATGATTACTAGGCATTTGAAAAGTATTCTAATAATAGAGCTTCAAAAGACTATACAGGTAATGGAATACATTAATAACCAAGAAGGGAGGTAGTAATTCATGCCTGCCATTCTGTACCCACATGCTAAAATGAAAGCCTGACAGAGAGCACCGCCCTTGTGAGCCTTCTTGGTACATCTGCACCTATTGTTATGCCTGCTCACTTAGTGATGGGCTGCAGCCTGCGTGACTCAACATGCTCATACTTAACTCATTATCTAATCCCAAACTGCTCCTTCTGCTTTTTTATTGATAAAGGGAGTGACCAGCCATCTAGCTATTCTAGTCACATTCCTTTCTCTCTCTCTCTCTCTCACTGTCATTGTTCAATTGGTCACCAAGTCCTCCTAATCTGTCACTTGCTTATCTGTCCCCTATTCTCCATACTACTTCTGTCTTAGTTCAGGACCTCTACCCCTCTCACCTAAATACTAAAATGCCTGTTAACTAGTCTACTTGACTCCAGTTTGGTCCCTCATGAATTTCTCTTCCACAATGCTTCCTTAACTAGCTTCTAAAATATAAACCCTGCAAACAATGAAATCATAAACATATTTCAAGAAAACATAGGTGAATACTTTTATACTTCTGGATTGAGTAAAAGCATTTCTTATCATGACATAAAACCCAAGAAGTCATAAATATAGCTACTTTAAAAAATCTTCTGTTAAATAAAGGACACCGTAATCGAAGATAAAAAAAAAAAAAAAACTAGGGAAAATATCTGCAACATATATGGCAGGCAACATGCTAATTTCCTTAATATACAAAGAGTTCTTACAACTCACTAAGAAAAAAAACCTATCTATAAATTTCAAATAATATCTCGTCCATCTCTTGGCCACACCAGGAAAGGAAAAGCTAATGCAAATAATTACATAACATGATAAAGGCATAAAGTATCCTGTAAACATTAGGTATTGAAAAATTGGTAAGATATCATTGTTAGCAAACTTGCTTCAATCAAATGCCCTGCCTAAGTTCAATTATGAGATACCTGTAAGCAGTTGAAAAATGCCCCTGGACTCTCTTGTTCATGCCTTTGGAACATAATAGAACATGTTTACACAGAGCAAATCATTGCCTGTAAAGCTAAAAGGTTGAAGTCTTCAGGAACGTTTCTGAACTCACACAACACCAAATTCTATTATTCCATCAGCATAGCCTGGGCTAGGAAGCTAGAACGAATGCCCATCAGACGAAACTAATTGGTTTTCCCATTTTGATCTGAATTAAGTAACAAAATAATATCCTCTGAAAGAAGGCAGAGTATCAGCAGAGTGACATTGCTAAGATAACTGCCACAAAGGTACTACTTACTTTACCCAGGAATATGATCATCTAAAGTTAGGTGTCAAAATCCTAAATGCAAATGGTACAGATGACTCATTTTTCAAATAAAAGCTCACATGAGATGGTAAATCTACTGTACTCATAAGAAAGGATAAACTCTGTTAGGAAAGTAAACAATTCGAGATGCCGATATAGCCTCTTATATGAATCTGGAGCAGAGGCCAATTCACTTACTGCAAGACTACAAAGGATCTAATGCATAAGCCCTAGACAGTATTAGTGTCTACTTGCCAAAACAGAATTTAAAAAATGAAACTGAGACTAATAATTGGAGTACAACCCCATGTAAATTTGGGGGAAACAAAAGACCTTCACCCCAGCCAAACGGTATCGGAAGTTTGAAAATTTAAGCAATTATTTCCCAGCTTTGAAAATGTAGTCTGTATTGAGGGACCAAAGCACCAGAATGCCACCATTATACAATGTCTGAATAAGTGACTTTTTGTTGTTCAGTCTTTAGTTTAGTTAACTCACAATGTTGTTGAGAGTTATAATATAGAAACAAATTCAATTCTCTAAACAGTTTTAACAAGACAGTTGGATTTTTACATTTCTGATTTGTACAATGATTTTTCAGAAATTCAAATTTTGACCAATGGTTTCTTAAAACCCATTTGATTCTATTATTTGCCTTTGGTGAAATTACTGCAATATTCTCTCAATAAATCTAGAGGCCCAGAGAGCTACTCATCATTTTATTCGTGGCTGGAATGAGCTCAATTGCTTTTGAAAATGAGCATCACATATGGAGATATATGATGTGATCATTTAGGTAACCTGGGTCAGAAGGTCAGAATAAACATTACTGAAATACTACATATCGACTCCAGCTTTGTCTGGCAGACCTAGGAGGCCCAACAGCTTACACGCTAAATATAAAAACAAAAAGCACACAACTCGAAACCTACCTAAAATTAACATGATTCTTTTCTCAGGCTCCCAGTTTTTAAAAATACCAACTTTGGGATAGATAAATATGGAGACTCACTCTGGGAAGCATAAAGGCCCTCCGCAGCTCTGTCTTCGTGCCCGTCATACTCTCTGCTGGACAGCTGCCTGTTGGCAGTCTCCAGTCGATCTGCGCACAAAGAGGAAATGATTACAAAGAAATGCATATGGATCTAAGTCATCATCAACTGAGAAATGAAATGGGAGCCAAGAGCTGGGTATGAAGAGATGTTCAGGCAGGAGCCCAAAACTGAACAACTTTTGGGGAGGAACAATACCTCCCAAAATATCAAAAGAAAAGTCTTCAGATGCCACGCTGTGCCTTTATGCAACTGAATGCCAAGGCATGCACCAGCAGGAGGCAGCTAAGAACAGGTTCTGAGAAAAGCCCGCTTTGCTGCCTGTAAGGCCGGCAAACCTCTGATTTGAATCCTTGCAAAGGGAGTTGAGTCTCCTTGGCCTCATAAACCCAGTCCTAGTCTAACCTTGATCATCAGCCCTCTGCTTTAGCCAGTGAGTGCTATCTGTAAGATGGAACCAAAATAATAATAATAATAATAATAATAACAACAACAACAACAACAAAAACCAACAATTAAATAAACACCAAAAAAAAAAAAGTCAAAATGAGTCTACATAGTTCTGTTTGTTCAAACCACCTGGTAAATCTTCATTTACTTGATTAGATAATTCAGTTTAACAAATCTTTACTGAAAGTGTATGACATCCAAGACAGAAGGGTTAACAGTAACAGAAAAGGTAGGATCAAACTACTAGAGACTACCAGTACCTTGAGTATTTTGACATACTAGGCAACTGAAAAGTGGCTTGGCTGACTGAAAGTAAAGTTTATGGGTTAAATCATCTTGCATGTTGGGGGTTGTCAAGACCCTGTAGCAGGTGGCTCCTAGCTTTTCACAACTGTGGGCCTTTATTTTCCCCCAAGAAGGACATAAGTCTAGTTCTGTTTTTTACTCTAGAGCTAGCAAGGCTTCCAAAGAATGCCACTAAATGACTCAGCTTGATGTGGAAGGGCTGTGCATCCAACGCTGGTCTTTTCAAACGATCCCATTCACATGGTCATGAGTGGCTGTCAAGTACTTTTAAAACAAGAAGGAGCCACACACGTACTCCCCCACTTCTCACAGAGGTTGCCACTTTTCAAGCCTAATGCTACGACCTACAACTTACAAGGCGGAAAAGAACTACTCTGCTCTTCGAGCGCCCTTTCCCCAGGTGGTTGGAATTTACAAGATTATCTAACACAATCTGGACCTGAAGTCAGGCTGTTAGGTACACATGCAGTTTGGGGTAGAGAGAGTATGAATGGAACTTGGCATGCCTCGGAGGTCTCTGTTGAAATCATGAAGTCTTCGAATCTCGCCTTCTAGTTTGTTTCTCATCGCCTTGTCCAGTGACTCTCGCTTGGTGGTAGACTTGACCAGACTCTCATAGGCTTCAGAAATTCTCTGAAGTTCTTTTTCAAACTGAAAGAAAGAAGAGGCATGAAAGTGGGACTCTGACATTCACATCGGTGCCTTAGTTACACTGACTCTGACATTCCAGGTGCAAAGCTTGTATCTTTAATGCAGTCTTTTCTGCACCTCAAGTTTCGTGTCTACCAAATCGTGTAATTCAGTGGTCCCCAACCTTTTTGGCACCAGGGACCGGTGCTCCTATGAGAAGCTAATGTCTGATCATCTGAGGTGGAGCTGAGGCGGTGATGCTAGCGCTGGGGAACAGCTCCAAATATAGATGAAGCTTCGCTTACTTGCCAGCTGCTTACCTCCTGCTGTACAGCCCAGTTCTTAGCAGGCCGTGGACTGGTACTGGTCCATTGCCCAGGGGTTGGGGACCCTTGGTGTAATCGACTTCACCCCTACCTCCTGCCCCCATCTGGCCTCTAAGGGCTATGCTGGGAACGTGTAAATAACAGGCTCACATCTGGCTGGACCATCTGATGTCACCTTGGAAACATCCCTCTGTAGAAATATCAGGAAGGGGTGAATTTAAACATAAGGTAAATCTTTTATATTTCGTATGGTAATTTATAATGATTCTTATTATTCCTGGTTAACATAAGGGAAAATATTAAAATACAAAAAAACTAAAGGACCACAAATAGAATCCCAAGTTTCCAGACTGCAAGTACAGTATTCTTGCAGGAACCTTCCTACCCATCCCCAAAGGAACGAAAAACCCGCTCGAGGAGACACTGCTTTACTTAGCATTTTTACCCCTTTTTCTACGACATTACCTATATAAAGAACTAATGGATTTGTATCTACTTGGAAACAAATGTACCACAGAAACCCTCTTTATATAAAGGAATTAAAAGATATGGGACTAAAATTATTTCTTTTGTACTTCACTAAACCAAGAGCTGTAACTGGGAGAGCCTTTACTCTATGACACATGTAAAGGTATAGCAAACAAGTAGCCGTAACTTGGATAACAGGAGTCTAATACAATAGTGTGTTCTTGAAGTAGATATCAATAAACCCCATTTTATTGTTGTGCATCATAAATGCAGGGGTAAGAATAAAGAGTGTCTGCAAACATGGGACCTTGATGAACTGCTGCTAAAAGTCAGAATGAAAGGCAAAGTGGGCAGGGTTGAGAGCACTAGTGTCCCTCACTGGGCACCAAGAGACCTGTTGCTTGTTTTCAGTCTCTCTGCAGACCCCATGAACCAGGCACCCCAATTGCCTGAACCCCAATTACTCAGATCAGAAAGTCCCTGCCAAGATTCCTATGAATAAACCATATCATAACAGTTACCTATGGTACACTTACTATGTGTCTGGGTGCCAAGGATGTAGAATTAAGTAAGATCATTTCTGGCCTTTAAGAGCTCAAGGTCTAGAGTCGGCCTGCACCCAGATGCACACACTTCTTTCTACACTGCAATGTGATAAGGGGTGTGGCGCTGTAATGTTCTCCACAGCCTAGAGATAAAGTAATTTTGCAGGGGTAAGGAGGAATTTCTTTAACAAAGATTTCACAGAAAATGCCATTTAAAATGAGCCTTGAAGGATAAACAGGAATTTGCCAAGCAGAAAAGACAAGGCCAAAGGGTCTTGGCACCCTAGGCAGAAGATAGGACATGAGCCAAGACACAACCATGGAAAAAAAGTACACGTCTCTGACATGACAGGTAGCCCAGGAGATGAGAGCAAGGTGCAAGCGGCAGGAGTTGGGGACAAAATGGAAGATGTCATGTGCAAGGAAGAATGATGGGGGTGGGAGGGCCTGGGGAGGACATAACTACCATATTAGTAGAAGAGCAGCATGATCTTACCTGAGGTTTTAAAGAGAACAAACTAAAGGATGAGGTTGGAGGGTGTGGGTGGGGAGATGAGAAAGGAGAAAAGAAGTCCAGGTAAGAAGTTAATAGAAACAGTTCAATGACAGACGACAGTGTGGAACTAGAACAAATTCCAGACACTGAGTAGAATCAATAGGTCTTAGTGACTGGTCTGGACAGTAAGGGAGAAAGAAATCAGACAACACAGACATTTATAACTTAGAGGATGAAGTAATAAGACTTAACCAAGATCAATGATTATAAGAGAAACAGGTTTACCAAAGAAAGAAAACCAGTTGGGTTTTGGAGATACTGTGGTCTGGGGAGGCAGCAGAACATCTTGGCAAGGATTTCTAGTCAGTAGGTGGGGACATAGGTCTGAAAGTAAGGAGAACAGTTGTGTCACTGCATGTAGATGACAGATGAAGTCATACAGTGGAAACCACTTAGGGACATGAACAGGAGATCAGAGGGCCAACGACAGGGAGCGTCAATACTGTGGGAGAAGGTGGGGCAGAAGAACCAGTGAGAGAGACTGAAGCCAGTGGTGCCATAAGCCAGGAAGCTAAAAACTTGAAGGAGAAAGAATGTGGGCCATGCCCTCGGAGGCTACAATGGAACCAAGACACATCTGAGAAGGTTGAAAAGGCTGGAGAGCATCAGGGCTTCTGCTGAGTGGCAGCCAACCAGGGCGAAGCCAAGAACACCAAGGCTCTTGTCAGTACCGTGTTATTTTCTCCAAGGCCTCCTAATACCAGAGTTGGTTCTTCCATGGTCCCCTCCTTTCAATAAGGCTTTTCTGTTTCTTCAAAAGAGATTATGAACTGTCAGGAATGTGGCAGTAGAGGGGACAAGATGTCCTGAATCCTGTTCATAGTTCTACCACAAATTATGTTCCTTCCTTTTAATTTTGTTTTCAAAAGAGATGGCTCCAAAACATACCACCATGTCTATGCTAATTTCATCTCTAAAAGGTGGCCTTTATTTTCAGAGAGATGGGCATGCTACAAGGACAGTCCCTTCCGAAGCTGAGAGGACTCTGAAGCCTGAGGCATTCGACCTCCCACTGTGAGAGCGTGCTTCAAGTCCAGGACACCTAGGAAACCCTCCTCAACTACACCACCCACAGGAACTTGCCTCCATCTGATTTCATTGTGTTTTCATCTGTTCTATTTGCCTGACCGAAATTTGGATGTGCATATGCATTTTGTGTCTCTGATTTGACTGTCAATTCCTTGAGAGCAGAAATAGTCCTCACAGTCCTAGAACTGTGCCCTGCCCATGACAAAAATACTGACCTGATTAATTAATCTTTAAAGTTATAACTCCTAAAGACAGTCTTGGGCACTGATAAGCTATACCTGAACTTGGATTCTTCCAGTTCATTAAAAGAACTGCCCTCCGTACATTATAAAAAGGACATTGCAGGATTCCTCTGATAAGGTAGTGTATAATCTCAAATACTAAAACAATCAAGAATTGGGATGTGGTTACGTGCTTGCAGCTACCAAGAGAGAAAGGGCAAGTGTCTTACTTATTTCAGGAAAAGGTATTTCGTGTAAGAAATGACAGCCGTCACAATGGAGACAGATTAGTCTCCTTCAGTGTGGTTATGGAGGACAGAATGACAACCAAATGTAGGAAGTTAAAGAGATGCAGATTTTGATTCAACATAAGAATTTCCTAACCACATTTTCCAGAAGTGCACTATGCTCTCCAGTGAGCTTCTCTTCTCTGGGAGCAGTCAAATAAGAAATGAATGACCTCTGTTCAGGGACATGAAGCAAGATTTCCCAAGGGGTGGGAAATTAGGCCAGAATCATTTAAAAATTTTTATCTCTAAAGCTCTATGATTTCTGATTGCACATTTTTTTTTTTTTCAGAAAGGGAACCACACCCTCTTCTTCATATTCCCTATGCCCAGCGCATCTTAAGTCTTCCCTGATGTTTGTTAAAGATGAAGGGAAGATTGGACAGGCTTGCTTTGATATAAAATCCATCTGGGCCAGTTCAGAGTCTGAGTTTGATCATACGAAGAGAATATTGGGTTTGCCTTCACAGTTCTCATCCAGCCCAGATGTCAGGAAACTCTTAGGCCAGGCCATTAAGAGCCCCTGAATTCACAGAGAAGCAGTCATTGTCCCAGAATCAGAACTACGAGCAGAGTAGAAAGCCCTGCCACCAGAAACATATGGGCAGGGAAGAGCTCTGGGAAAATCTCAGCCATTCCAAACTCTAGATACTGGCTTTTTCCCTGAGCACCTTCCTATGTACAGCTCAGGACCAAAGACAGGCCTGCTGTCCAAGTCACAGACTGCCCAATCAAAGCCACCACGTTGCACTGACAAAAGAAGAGGGTCTTCACTAAAGCAAGCCTGGGGTAACCATAAATGCCTTCAAATGCCTTCAAGCTCTTTCTCTTCAAATGTCCATCTACATATATCCTGATGGCTTCTGAGGCCAACCCACTCAACAGCCCACAGTCTGGTCCTGCTGGAACCTCCATCCATTAATTATGTTTTAGGGAAACTAGGAGGTCCATCTGCATATACCCTGATGGCTTCTGAGGCCAACCCACTCAACAGCTCACAGTCTGGTCCTGCTGGAACCTCCATCCGTTAATTATGTTTTAGGGAAACTAGGAAGAAAGAGAAGCCAAATGAATGACCAAAAGGAAATACCGAAGAACAGCTGCTCTTTCTGGGGGTCCTCAACCCCCATTCCAACACTAACAGCGACAGTCACCACCTCGTGCCTCTAGAAACAGGGTCTGCCTACCTAGGCTGTGCTTTGGCAGTCTCCGGGTTTACTTGTTCTTCCTGCCACGTTCCTGGCACAGTATGCATAAGCTAAGCCCTGCAATTAAAAATTCATCTATTTTTGGTTCCCTGCGAGTGCGCCTAGTGCACGAGGATCCCAGATTGGATGTTATTGCTGGCACGGGGGCAGCCACATCCTACGACACAGTACAATGGCTCCACCCAAAGTGGGGGTCCTTGCCACTGAGAAGCAAAGTCATCACCTCATCCGATAGTCCTCTCCCCAGACCTAAAGCTTAGGGACAAGTAAGCGGTGAGGTCAGTGCTGAGGGAAGACCTGGGACTAGGATGACCCTGGAAACACAAGCCACAAAATGCTAAGTCACAGAGTTCATGCAGCGTTTCTGTCTCCTGGTCCTGGCTGTTGAGAACAGCTATAGAACTAGTGATGAGTAGCGCAAGTATTCGTCAAAACCTGAGTTTTTAAATTCACGATTTCAGTTTTACATGACAGATCGATAAAATGTAAAAATGTAAAAGAAAAGAACCAGTTATGATATTCAAGGGACTGAAGGAGTTTTGGGTTCCAGAAAGCAAATTGCTTTTGATTTTTATCCTTTTTCAGAAGTCATCAAAATCCTTTTGGCCACAAACTTTAAGAATCATCCTTCTTGCAGGGAAAATGAGTCCCTGGGAGATTTGTTTTGTTTTTCAAAATAGAAATGTGCATCAACATCAAGAGATATATGTGACAGGTCAGTAAAGTATGTATTAATTAAAAAGTCAATGAAGAACAACAAGACCTCCCGATGTCTGTACCTTCCATGTAACTGTTCAAAAATATCCATGTAAAAAGACCCAGAACCAAACTCTGCCCTCAGGTGGGTCCATGTAATTCTGGACATGGCTGCCACAGAGCTCCATTAGGGAGAAGAAAGAACCACCTATTTCCCAGAAGTGCTGAGTTGGTCTTTTCCAATTTTCAGACTGTACTTGCAAAGAAGCTGCCCGGTGAGGTGTCAGAGGCAAGCTGGGGCCTGAGCACTGACTTACAGCCAAGGCCAGGAAACAGCACACTCGTTTCCCAACTTCTAAGGGTGTAACTGGGGTGGGAATGAGGACGCAATCTTTAGGCAGCCCATCTGTTTCTGGCTCTCATTTTACCCCCTCCAATAAAGGCAGCCAGAGCTCTCTGAGTCAAGTTTGGTCTTGACTCCAGGGAGCTCCAGACCTTTTCAGTGGAAGAGCCACACAAACGTGCTGAGGCAGATTCTGTCTATGAACATTCGTACCATCAAACCCACTGCTCCTGGAGATTTACTGCCAGCCCTCAGGAAATCAGAGGAGTTGGTTGTTTTGAAATGTTAACCAGCAAAAAGACTGGGCTTTACCAGAGAGATCACTACTAAACAGTGAATACTAACTGGCCAGCCAGGAGCATTAACTGTCACATGGAACCAAATGACAATGCTCCTGTGGTCAGGCAGGGTTTATAGTCCTACCTTTTCTCTTTAAAAAAGCCCCTGACTTGCTGGGATTGAGCCATGCACTAGGAAACTGGTGACCTGTGGCTGCCTCAAACACCTATTACCTTTGCCCCTCTCATCTCTTCTGTTCTACCTGCAGCATTTCAGGTAGACATATGGATCATCATGAAATCACTGCCCACGAGCGTTTACTTTTGCTGGATGTTTTCCTATTGACTTTGGCTGTCAGCATAAAGCCCTAAGAATGAAGGCTGCCATACATTCTAATATTCCCATGATAACTACACAGGCTGGAATTACGCAGCATCTTCTCACTGATAAGTCACAAGCATAAAGAGAGCACGCAGAAACTCGTACTCTACCTTCAGTGTTGAGACAACATGGCTTTTTGCAGAGACCAGCTAATGAAACAAACACGGCAATCGCAAGGTTCTTGTCTAAGATTCCCAGATTTGAAGGAAAATCTGTCGCTCTCAACTCATTCCATTGTGTTACTCTCAGTGTTCCCTCTTCCACATTGTCCACCTGGGGAAATGCTACTTAGCTTCTTAGTCTCAGGTCCAGGGCCACCTCTGCTGTAGCTACTGTAGCCCCCTGACATTCTACTGCAGGTATTAATGTAGATAAGTCTCCCCTTTTGGACTGTAAGCTCCTTCAAAGCAGGCATCGTGTCTTATTTATTTTTGTCTCCTTAGAGCCTTGCACAGTACCTGGCATAAAAGGGGTCTAGTTAACTGTTGGCAAGTGAGTCAGTAAATCCAGCCCCCCACAAGCAGGTAAAGAATTCTGTCCCTTCTAGAGAACTCTCATCCTTCTCTTCCCTTGGGAAGTCACATACCTTGTGGAGCTTGTCAGCATTGTCGTAGTAACCCTGAAGTTCCTGGTGAAGCACCCGGTTCTCCTCTGTTAGTATCTCCACCATCTGCTGGGCTCGCTCCACAATTGCAAATGCATCTGGACCAAGCTGCTGGCTGGCAGAGGTGGCAGGCGGGGGCTGTGGACCTGCCAGGGTCACTGGAAGTGCAAGTGGCAAGGAGGTGGCATGCAGAGGCCCACTGGCGGAGGAGTTCTGGGAGGACATCGGGCTGTGCTGCTGCACGGTTGACGGGAAAGGAAGTTGGCACGGGCGGCTGCAAGGGGACAAAAGACCAGAAATTAGGTTTCAGGGAAAGGCAAGGAAGCCCCAATAACATATGCACTACTGATGGCTTCTAGTAGCAAAGGTCATCAAAGTACCTTCCAGTGCTGGGCTGAGTACAGCAGGCTCAGTCCCTCCTTCCACAGATATTTAATGTCTCCCTCTGACTCAGCACCATTCTGGTCACTGGGGACACAGTGAATAAGACAGATAAGGCCCCTGCTCTCCTGAAGCTTACATTCTCAGGGAGAGAGACGAGTGAGCAATCAAACAATAAATAAACAAAGCAAAGTATTGAAAAGTAATGAGTACTCTCCAAAGCATAAAGCAAGAGTGATGTGACAGTGAATGATTGAATGGCAGGTTCGTACTGAGAGGTCAGGGGTCTCTGAGAAGCAGATGCTTGAGCTGAAGTCTGAATGACAGACAAGAAGGAACCCATGGTTGTGGGGAGGGAATAGAGAAGTGGGAAAGAGAGCATTCCAGGTAGAGGAATCAGGATTTATCATGGGCAAGGTCAAGTTAGAAGAAAGCAAATGGACTCAAAACATAGTCAGCAAAAGCAGCAAAAGGTAAGACCAGAGGAATGGACAAGGCCTTTGTAAACCAAGGTCAGCTCTTCGCTTAGGGTGTAAACAGAAGCCAATGAAGCTGCCTTTACTTTGACTGCTGGTATATACGGTATGGATGATGTATTCGGTGGCAAGAACACACAAAAGGCAACCAGTGAGAAGGCTTAGGTGTGATCTAGGTGAGAACTTTTGAAGGCTCACAGGGTAGTAGAAGAGAAATAATAGAAGAATTGGGGGTATGTTTTGTACATATCATTCATAAGGAGAGAGAAAGTGAGGAAAATTTTAAAAACTTACTTCTAGATTTTTGCGTCTACATTTAATAAAATGGGAAAGTCTTGGGGAAGGAACTAATTTTTTTGTGTTTTAATTTGCTGAGGTGAGGAGTTTTAGAAATCAAAAGTCTGATTTTAGCCATGTTAAAAGAACACATGGAGGCGTACCTTGATGGTTCAAATTCAGGGTACTAGCTTCTACATTTAAACCACGAATTTCCATCTCTTATCTCTACTCCCTAACAATTTCCTCTTTACTATTCTGTTAACCTGTTTTATAAGAACCATCGTATTTTCTTTCAGCCTAAACCAAGGCCACCTAACAATTTCTACAGGTAAAGACAGCAAAGATATAGTCTTGATATCTAGTTCTCCAACCACAGCTGTCTCTATTCCACAGACTTAGGAAAACTAGTTTCCTTGTTGATCTCCTCAACCTTCAGGTCACAATCTGAGAACCCAGATGCTAAAAATTATCAGCAACCCCCAAATCATCAACATTCTGCCTCGAAAGGCTGAGTCCTCTGGAGATCCAGCTACTTCTAATCTGTAACAATTACTGTGTCACCTCTCATTACTTGTGGCCATCCACAGCCAAAGCTCTCAGAGCCAGCCCCATTTTTCCCAGAAGGGTGCCTGGCCTTACATTTTCCTTTTAAGCATACTTGCTGGAATGTTTTTGGTCCCTGTCAGCCTCCGTATCTCTCATTTTGTAAGCATTTCTTGTAGCCAGGGTTCCCCTGAATGCCAACTCCTGGCAGCTAAATGTCAAACTCTAGAACAACAATCCCCAACCTTTTTGGCACCAGGGACCAGTGCTCCTATGAGAATCTAATGCTTGGTGATCTGAGGTGGAGCCGAGGCAGTGATGCTAGTGCTGAGGAGCGGCTGCAAATACAGATGCAGCTTCGCTCGCCTGCTGCTCATCTCTTGCTATGTGGCCCAGTTCCTAACACGGCACAGACCGATACCTGTTCACAGCCCGGGGATTGGGGACCCTTGCTCTAGAAAACTATTCGACAAGGGTCATCTTAACCCTTCCTACATGGATATACAGACATTCACAAAGTGACCTCAGAATAAACCCTGCAGTACCTGACAGAGTAACTACCTAAAGGCCTTGCTCTGGAAGCTGACTAACATCAGAGACCCCACCTGAGCTCGGCAGATACTTCCCAACTAGATTTCCTTATGCCTTCAGCCCAGAAGCTCCTTCCATCTCACATGAAAATAACTGGGATCTAAGTTCCCCAAGGCAAAGTGGAGAACCATGGAGCTCAACGGGATTCTTTCTTTCTTAAGTGAGCTTCACCTCCCAGCCATCCTGATTTCAGAAAGGAATGCTATCAGTGAGGAGATGTTGGCCATCCCTTCTCCCTCCCTCCCCACACCTATTACATAACCATCTGGCCATCTCTTCAGAAATAAAACGCTCTGCATTTTGATGAATTTGGGCCCCTTCCACACTGAAGTGTGTGTGAATATGTGTCGTCCTGCGTGCATGAGGTCCGACTCCATCCCAAGAGTGAAATCCCTGGAGTGCCACCCGCAATGCCCAGCTTTCACCCCAGATCACAGGTACTCCTATCAGGCGTGGACCCAAAAGAACCACAGATCTGTTACTGAGTAAGTGCGCTCCTGCTGGCTGGCTAAATCCTATAGTACAATTTTCATGGAATGAGGTTATCTTGGCAATAGGCAAAATACCACAAATTACACTGCCTCAACTTAAAGGCAGACACCCATCCCCACCTCCTAAGTACTCCCTTCCCATTCACCAAATGCCAGGGACAGACGTGGTGGCTTCCTTGGAGCTGAGGCGGCCCAGGTGAGTCTACAGCCCCCATTCTCCAAAGCATCGGGGCTTCCCTTTGACACAGGCAGCTTAGGGCTGGGGCTTCTATCTTTCAACATTTAATGAACTCTGGGATTTGGAACTCACTTATGGTCAATGATGAGCTTATCTTCTCATCATCTTTTCCTGTTACCTAACAAAAAGGAAGCACTTTGTTAATGCCGGCCTAAGTCATCCATGATGGGTCCTCCGAAGCAATGTGGGAAAAGGGTGTTTGCCAAGCTGAATGAACAGGAAAGAAAAGGCTTTTGCAAAATGGGAAGTCTTCTATTAAACAAAAGACGCACCCCCCTCCCCCCATAACCAGGTTACACATTCCAAAAACACCACATTACAATAGATGATGTGCAGGCAGGAGAGCAAACTTTTATTCCTTGGTTCCACTACTCAGCCAGCTGGGGTGGGTGCAAAAATGTGAACGGGCAGATCTGGGCTTAGTGCAAATGAGGGGGAAAAAGTGTTGGAAGAGAACAGGAGATTTTCACACAAGATCATACCAGTGCTATGAAACAACTTAACCTCAGCTTTCAAAGAGAATGTCATTGATAAGCCACCATAAAGATAAATGGGGACATAAAGAAAAGGGAAAAAGAAAGGATAGGAATCATCACTGAGAAGTCTGAGAGCTAGTTTATTTGATACCACATGTCTTGGTTTCCTGGGACTATATACCACTTATCTCGTTGTTAAAGAAATTAAGGAGCTAATATGTAGAAAGCCTGGCACCAAGTAAACACTGGACAAATGTTAGCTATTATCACCATTACTATAATCATTATTATTGTTATCCCACTGCCCCAATACATAGCCTAGCGCTGAGTGTGGAATTCATGAGAAGTCCAATAAAACTTGTCTGTTATGGTTAATATTTATTGAGCGTTTTACGTTCCAGTTGCAATATAAACTGCTACACGCATCATGTAACTTTGATCTTTAAAATTGCTTTACAAAATAGGTGTCATTGTCAGTCTCTCTACTTAAATGAGAAAAAAGGCACTAGATGGTAAGTAACTTGCAAAATGTAACAGGGACAACAAGAACATAAAGGAGGTCCAAGCCCAGGCTTTTTTGATTCCAGAGTCCATGCAGTTCACTATGTCCCTGTACTGGGGAAAGCAGGGAAGGAAGGCAGCCCCATTCGGTCCTCTGATCCTGGGTTGCTGTCGCCCAGTCTGAGCCACCACCATGGCACGTCCATGATTCTCGCTCTCACACGAAAGCATCAGAATGTTTGGTAAGCTCGATCAGCCTCAGAAGATTTACAAACACGAGATTACACAGTCTTTACAAAGCAAAAAAAAAAGGGGGATGCTTTGAACTGGGGGTCTCGATGCCACCATACTTTCCCCACACCAGGGCTATCTCCCCATGTTGGTACAGGTCAGCACTGTTCCTTAACACGGGGTCTTTTTTCCTCTGGTTCTGCTTCTTAACCATGGAACCATGGGCAGGGTTTTAACTTCTTCACCTTTAAATGGTGATAATAAAATCTACCTCACAGAGTTGTAAGCATTAAATGAGATAATGCATATAAAGCATTGCACATAGTGTCTATCTTTAAGAAAGTATTTAATAACTGTCACCCTCCATTATTCTATCACACACAGCTAATGGGTGTTAGGAGAAAGACAAGAAGCACCGCCCTTGTGTACCCCTCCCTCTTCAAACACCCTCTGGTGAGAGTCACAGTCCCTAATCCTAAAGCCTCGATGAGGAACCAAAGCATACTCTTGTACTATAGAATTTTCTACTTCTGAAGAGTTTTCTTGCAATGCAAAGCAGAACGAGAGCACAGCTTCAAGGTGACGTCCATACAGCTTCAGGACATTCTCGGACACAGACTCTCATTTCCTTCTAGGTCTATGCTATCCAAAATGGTAGCCACAAGACACATGTGACTACTGAACACCTCAAATGTGGCTAGTGTGAATCAAGATGTACAGGAAGGGCAAAATAGACATCAAGATGTGAAGCCTTAGTTCAAAAAAGGTAAAATATCTCATTAATAGTTTTTTAATGTTGATTACTTATTGAACTGATAATATTTTAGATATAATGGACAAACTAAAACATGTTTTAAGAAATGTTTTTAAATGGATTCGATGAAATGTTTTAAAATTAATTTCATCTTTTTTTTTAACTTTCTAAAAATGTGGCTGCTAGAAAAAAAATTTTTTAAGAAAATTTTTAATTAGACATGTGGCTCACATTATATTTCCATTGGATAGCACTGCTCCAGGACATACCGCCCTTATACCAAAAGGCCTTGCTTTGGAAAGACAATTCCAGA